TGTTGTTGTTATTATTATTATTTTTTATATAAAAATTCCAGACTATACGAAACGAGAAAATGATTTTGTTTTCTAATAAAAAAAAAAAAAAAAAAAGTCATTATGGTCACAAACCACATTTATAAAAAAATATAATCGTGTTCACCTGTGCGGAAAATTATTCTTTTTTTTTTCTCCATAGAACAACAACTACAAACAACAAACAACAACAACAAAAAATGGATAAAAAATTCATACAAAAATTTATAAAATCCGTAAAGGAAAAAAAAGAAAAAAAACTTTATAAAACATTAAAAAAAAAAAAGTTGCAAAAGAAAAGAAAAAAAAAACAAAAAGTGCTGCCAACATGACGTTTAATATTTTCCTATCTCTCTCTCTCTCTCTCTCTCTCTTTGCCTTTCATTCATTCTCTCTTTGTCACTCTTTTAAAAATTTTCATTGTTTCCTTACGTAATTCTTCTCTTTTCTTTTTTTGCTTTTTTTTTCTTCTAATCCGAAATAATCGATAATTATTTTTCCATCTCTCTCTCTCTCTTTTTTTTCATTCAGTGTTGCCAACTTGTAATTGTTTTTAAATTTGCGTAATAATTGACAGATTTTTAAATTTCACGTAACGAATTTTTAAAAAAAAATTTTTTTTGGGTCGTCAACATTAAAAATTTTTCTTCTCCTCAAAAAAAATTCTAAAATTTTTTTTTTTAATATAAAATTACCGTTGTACGAAAAAATCATTCTCAATCAATCAATCAATCGTGAATTATTTAATAATTGTCGTGATATTAGGTAACAAAAAAATTTTTTTTTTTTTTAATTTTAAATTCATAAATGCGATCGTCGCGTACGATGAAAAATGGCGTCCGATAAGTTAATAATAAAAATTCAAGGTTTATATATAGATTTTTTTTAACTACTTCCGGTTTTTAAAATTATATCAAACTACGTATTAGATAGTTTATTTGTTTTTTTTTTATTATAAATAAAACGTGTAAATAGATAGATATATCCTTGTCGTTAAAAATGACCCGAGTCACGAAATTTACTTCGGGATAAGAAATAAATTTAAAAAAATTATTATTATTATTATTAACGTGTTAATATTATTTTAAATGATCTATTTTTTTCCCCATCTCTCTCTCTCTCTCTCCTTCACACATCTTCTCCTTTTCTTGGGGGGGGTGGGGGGAGAAGGTTTTAAGAGATCTCCGTTGAATAAAAAAAATACCCGATTTAATGTTTAACTTGTAGAACGTCATTAACGTTTTTTTTTTTTTTTCGTTATTATAAATCATTTGTAATCGTGACCCCCTCGTTTTGCCTTGTCCTATCCCCCCATTCACCCCCCGCTTTTCTCCCCAGTTTTTTTTTTTTAATTTCTCGTTGATGATGGGCGAGTCTTTTGACCCGGTCGAAATGCGTCTCGTCATATCATTGACCTATTTTTTTTTCCCCCCTTCGAAATGGGAGGAGGGGAAAAACAAATGAAAGTTAATAGAGGGGAGCAGGAAGGAGGGATGGGGGGGCAACAACAGCACTTTACGTTTTTAATAACCAAGGCCTTAAATCATTCGTCCGTTGATAATGATGCTCACTAATTATAGGGTACCTGCTTTGTCGGTTTGTAAAGTATTCGATGAAAAAAAAATTTTCTTATCACCCAATTCGAGTGCGGCGTACAACCCTAAAATCTCGTCAAAAAATTTATTTTTCGTTGCGACGTTAAACCATGTTTTTCTCGACGTTTTCTCGTACCACGTTTCATAATAATAATAATAATAATAATAATAATAATAATAATAATAATGGTAGTAACGATAGAGTTTGACGTGTTTATAATTTATCAAAACTTTTACTGTTATCGACTAATTGATTTTCTTTCTCCTCATATTTAATTTTAGTAGTGCCCAAAAATTTAATCTCAAATATAGTCTGAATGAAAAATAATGATGATGATGATGATGATGATGATAATAATAATAATATTAATAAATGAATATTTTTTTGGTAAGGCACGCCCAATCATTTTTCTTATGACAATTACACGCGAGTTTTTTTTTCGTGTCAGACGAATAATCAAATAATAATAATCAATAAATAAATCGTTTATTAATAACCACTAAATAATAATAATAATAATAATAATAATGATAATGATAATGATAATGATGAT